ATCACAATGCTTATTGCAGGCCAGGGGAGGATCACTTTCATTTGTGGAAGACAGTAAAAAGTCTCAGATACTTCTCGCGTATGTAAATGGGAACCATGAATATGTTCTTTTCGATCCTCATAGCGATGATACAACCGAGACTAGCGCCAAAGATTACGAGGTTCTTCTTGCAGCAATAACCAAGAAGAAGAAGCGATCACGGAAGAAAACATTGTTGGCGATGTCAGAGAGACCTTTGGAAAAGAGGTTTTGTGGATCAACACTCAATATCCCGCCTTTCCCCGATGTGTGCGGTTCTTTCTTTGCTTCCCATATGCGGAAAAGGATATGCGAAAGAGTAGAGATGCAACCTGAAAGCCATAGCGCTTGATCAGTGACTACATATTTTGGATAACGTTGTTCTTTTTAGCTTTTTGTTAAGAGAAACGACCCGGTTTGATTCGTAGTAGCTGCCCATATGGAATGGAAATGCAGGATTTTAGCTCTGTAGGAACTGGAATTCAGATGCTGTGTAAGTCTCTAAGTGAGATAAAAGGGTCCCTGTTTTGATTGGGATTTGTTCATCATGTAGAACTTGCTGATTTGTGTAATATAAGTTTTTGGGTGGCCCTCATATATGTCCAACCAATCATGAATGTTCTGTTTAGTACATATGTGAACAAAAGAGTTTACTCCAAAATAGATTTCAATTTATGACCTTTACATATAAATTCATCTTTAATTTAGTGAACAAGAAAAAGATCCATTATCAAATCACAATAGAAAATTTAGAAGAAAACTTTCATTGAGGTGATCGCCAAGGAGATGAACCAGACATCAACCAAAGCTAGTAGACTAGTTTAGAATAGTGGAGGACCCCATTTATGGAGATGTCGTTTGTCATTTGACAGTTTTCTAGCAAGGAGAGCAACACTCGGAAGAAGATTTTATATATTGGCACTTATGTTTTATATAATTTTTGTTTTTTTTTGTTTGAGAAATGTTTTTATTAATTACATGATACAATGTAATCGATAAATAAAATGCATTAGTTATAAAAAAGAAAATATTTTTGGATGCGTCTAAAACCTAGTTTTAATTCAAGTAAAA